TCTTTCCGTAGCTTGTCATTTTTCTCTGCCACAAGGAAAGGAATATTCTTTTTCCTCCGTAGGCCTTTAATTTTCTCCCTATTTAACAGGCCTTTTAACTACCAGTTCCTTTGAGTGATTTACATTCTAGCCTGCTCTTCCCATGACCTGGAGTAGACTGCTGACTGCTTCTGTCCAGCAGGATTATTGGGAATATATCATGAGAATAAACACTACAGAGCACTCTCCTTCTGAAAGGGAAACTCAACAGCAACCTCCAAAGAAGGGTGCCTGAAACAAAGAGTTGAGGTGCCAGCCCGTGAAACACTGTGTCTCTCCTTTTTATAATGCTAACACATTTATTGTGCATATTCACCCTCTACAGACAAACCAGTTGCTAAAAAAGCCCCAAACCCCCAAACAACCCTCACCAACACAGAAAATACTTGAAACAACCAGAATGACATGTGGAGGAAACACAGAGAATACCAAGATGAGGTATACAAACCATGTTATTCAACAGTCAACCAAGTGGAAGACAGTAACAGATGTGGAGCAGTTAAAGCACTCCACAAGACAGGCTGAAGCCATCTACCCTTGGAAAGCCAGGCTGGGGCCACGTTCCTCACCAGCACAGACCTCAAGTCTGCTTGAGACCAGAGGTACTGAAGTCTCACTTCACAGCACTGGCTTTAGTTCAAGGTGTTCATTATAAGCTACTTCTTAAAAATGTAAAAGTTTCTGGTCTTTTCAGCACGATCACCACTGCAGTGGTGAGGGGAAGGCTCCAGATGAGAATCCTCAGCTTTGTAGTTATCAGTGCACTTAAGGGAAAGAAAACAGATTGAAGGCATCCAAGACTCTTCATCTTATAATTTCTTGACTGCAGCATCAATCTCAGGAACGATCTCCTTCAGCTGGTTCCACTGCTCTGCAGACAGGGCTATCCCTAGAAACAGCAGGAGAGGCTTCAGAGGAGGCAAGGGGTTAGCATCAAGGAGCAGACCAGCACGGCTCTTTCAGACCAGCTACAGAAGGGAGAGGTGGAACCTGAGCCAGAGGCAGAGACCAGAAACAGAAGCAGCCTTCTAAGCATGGCAGTTGCACCAGCACCTCAGCATCCATATCAACACTGTCACAGAAGCGCCATATGAAAATATAAGCTCAAACTGCTTTTCAAGAGTCCCACAGCCCCTTATAGCCTACTCCCTAGTACAAATTTGCACCCACATGAGCTGGGAAGAAATTCTAGGAAAACCTTACTCCACACAGCAGTTAGGACACCATCCTTTCAACTGCCTAAAGGAAATAATGCCAAGTCTAGATCTATTTAAAAAAAAAACAACCAGCTGCTAAAAATAAATCACTGGTATGGCTTAAACACTAGAGAAGAATTGGCTTCTTTTTAGACCCAACAAAGATAAGGTCTTGGTGTCCTGTCCCTCTCCCTTACAAAACAAACACAGTGGTGTAACTGCTGTGTGGGTTCCAGCCAGATGTTGTCAACTTGTTCCTTTTGGCTTTGTTAAAAATCACATTAAAGAACTAGGGCCCAAGCTTTATTAAATTCTCTAGATAAAGTACAGGGGCCAAGACTTCTTGAGAAAAACAGCAAAGGCAGTATTTAAGTGAAAAACCATTTCTTCATGATCTCCGTTTTAACTGGCAGCTCTTCTGTCTCACATTGTGGGTGTGTTTATTCTAGCCTGGAAGGAATCCACAACGTTCCTTTCCCTCTCTGCCCCCGGTGGCACAGAAAAGCTTGAGGGCTCTGCTTCCCATTTTCATTATGGGGTACGCAGTCCCCTCCAAGTGAGTAATTCATCCTCATAACTCCTCTAAAGGAAATTAATTTCTGGAAGGAAAACCATGCATCATGGTTATGAGGCAAACAAAGCTGAAACAGGTTTGAATGCCCTGACACAAAAATCTATGGCAAGGACCAAAAGGTTCCTTCAAGAAACCCCACATTAACTGAGTCTTTTACGGCCACATAATGCAGGACAGGTGAAAAGAATCCAGGGTCTGTGAATCACGAGGCAAGCTGGCAAGCCATTGCAAAAGTCTCAGATCAAAAGGTCTAAGTCTTCACATCATCAGACACCTCGCCAAAAGAATAAGGACCATCTAACACAGAAGCATTAGAATGTCTTGGTAGGGATCCAGAGGGGTCTCAACCTTCCTGTCTCCATCTAGATAGGGAAGGGTGGATTTACTTCCATCAGAAGCAGAGGCAGATTTCACCACAGCCCCAGCTGCCACCTGGCAGACACGGTTGTACCTTTCCTCCCTGGTTTCATGCTGCCCTCCTTGTCCACGTAGAACTCCCTGATGTCCACAAGGGCCTTCCCCTTGAAGCAGGACACTTTGACATAACGCATCTTTCCAATCTGCAGCAACACAAAGCCTGCGTTAAACCCAGCTCTCAGCAAGCTGCTCCTCAGCCCATAGGGCCTGTTGGGTCACTCAGACGTGCCAGAGGACGAGTGAAGGAACTGCAGACACCCCAGGCAGCCCACTCAGCTACAGAAGTGCTCTGCTACAAGTAGAGGAGACAGAGGGGAGACCTGCATGAAGAGGAGGAAGACATGCTCCCAGAGCAGATCCCCGGCCTCCATACCTGGAACATGCCCTCCTCTTCACTGCCTTGTCCTGGGGATTCTTCTGTCGCCCTTGAAGCTCTGGCCTCTGTTTTCAGCCTTTTCTCTGACTTAGAAGACACTTCTTTCTTTCTT